ATTCCAATAATTATTAATTCTGTGGTGAAAGATCCATTCAGATTTTCCCACATATTGTTTCTGGCATAGTGTGAATTCTAATAGGTAAATTATGTTATGACTTCTACAGTTAGAGTTGTAGATTTTGTAGTGTTAGGCTTCTTCTGTTACATGGTTACAAAAATCCTATTGTTTTAATTATATATATATATATATATATATATATATATAAATATATATATATATAAATGTGAAATTGAGCTCAATTCTCCCACAAATTCTAGGGTTAAAAGGCGACAACTCTACTTTATAGTAATTTAGTATTAACTCGACCCCCTACAGAATTGCATTGTGATACAAGGTCATTTAATGTGGGTACACTCGGGCTAGAAACAAAAAACTGCGACCATCAGTTGTGCTGGCCTCGGTATGAGCACTGATCTCTCTATCTCTCTAGTGCAATGAGAGCTTCTCTCAGTATGATTTTCTTCTGATGGGACTGTCCTCTGACAAAACTGCTCCTGAGCACACTCTGCCCGAAGACAGAGACACAACTGAGAGATGATTAATAAACGTGTTACAAACTACTTTATAGCAATTTACACACTAAAAGCTCAATATCTGTATTATATATTATCTACTTCTACATGATATCACTTTTCAATTTAACTAATTTGCATATTAATTTTAAAAAAGTTTATTTCATTAATTAACTGTCCTTCATTATTGTTCTGTTATTTGAGGATTGTTTTGATTTTCATATCAAATATAGTTCTATCATATTCTTTGAACAAATATATTGAACCTCCACAATGCTTTCAACATTTCATAAATAGTGAACATTAATCATATAAAAAAACTAATTTTTCCTAGAAAAATTACCAGGTTATTTTTATAAGGTAAACATTTATCAGTTTATATATCTAGCATCCATAATTAGTTGCTTTTTTACAGAAGTTACAGTTTGGAAATTTGACAAACTACATTCTACATAAATGGACTTTTTTGACCAAGTAGAACAAGTAAAAAAGCAAACAATAATTCATACACAAATGTATCCCCCTCTCCTGAAAGAAAATATAAAAATGCTTCCTTTTTAATTTTAATGACTAATTTGCATACACTCCTTAAAATATCTTCTATTAAATGATTGTCCTCTTCTTTTAATTTTAATTAAAATCCATTCATAATTACCCATTAAATGTCTAATATCTATTTTGTTTTTCTTCTTGATAGTAATTTCTATTGAACTTACTTCAAATGAAAACTATTTTTTTTGTTTTTTGATGTGTAATTTCTATTATTATATCTGTGAAAATACTTTGAAAAAGCATTAATTCAAATAAAAATTTTGATTTAAAAATATACTAAGTCCAGAGTTTTTGCAAATCTCTGTCATAAAAAGAGAAAAGTATTTATTTACTTTTCCTTTTTGACAAATACCTGTAGGCTTTTTGCTAGCAAATGTAACTAAAATAAAATATTAAAAGGTTTTAAATAATTACTGTATATTTTATGATATCAAATTAATGTTTACTTTTTTAACAAGATGCTTGCAATTTTGGACATATTAAAATTTTTCAAGCTTTTTAAACAAAAATTATAAACAAATTTATTTTTACTTTATATATAAACTTTGTATATTTTCCCTATGAAACAAACTATCTATAAAAATTTTATTTTATTCAATTTTCATGTTTACAACTATATCATGGATAAAATGTTTATTATTTAAACAAAATAATATATACAACATGAAAGAAATGTACTGCTGTTAATTACTTTTTCTGTTTGTTTTCTTCAATGGTGAAAATGATTGAAATATTATTTCTGTTAGTCTTCAGTGATGAAAGTGTTCGGCAAGCTCCAAAAAGAAAATCTCTTCATGATCCCCAGATGAGAGTATTACAAGCCACTGAAACTCCATTACAAGACAGCAAAAGACTTGATTTAGATTCAACAGTGTACAACATATACCTTTCATTAACTTCTACAAAACTGCATTCCAATACAATTGCAATACTAATTATGCAAATCATCAAAAGGTGTCACTTAGACCAATTGATAACCAGTGCCATTACTGCAATGCCATAAGATTCAAGAATTAATCTGATAATATGTGCTGTAAAAAAAGAAAGATTCAACTAACAGAACTTCCAATACCTCCTGAGCCACTCTTCTCTCCTGAATAGGATTTCTCAAGAATCAAGAGATTTTCTTCAGCACATTAGGGCCTACAATAATTGCTTTGCTATGACCTCATTTGTAGCAAAACATGCAACACTTCCAGGATGGAAATTAACTTTCAGAGTTGAGGGTCAGGTTCACCACTGGATTGGTTCCCTTCTACCAATTTCTTCAAATCTACTTCATAGAAGACAACCAAGCACAAACACAGACCAGAAGAAATATGTTTAATAAACTGAAGTTTGACATTATATTGACTTTTCAAGAGTATTTGCATGTTTATGTTAGGGAGTTCAAATCAGCTATGGAAAGATTTGAACCTGAAGATTTCAGAATTGTGATTAAAGCTGATAAAATGCCATCTTGGTGAGCACCAGAGGAGGCTTAATACACTATGTACCAATGAGGTAGCCATCCTAATGCTTGGCCAGGAATGTGAAAAAAAGGGATATTGTTCTCCAGAGACAAGATGGAAGTCTTCAAAAAGTTGCACAAACTCAGAGCTTATGATGCCTTACAATATCCACTCATATTTTGGCAAGGAACAGATGGATACCATTTTCTCCTCAAGCAAAAACATTTGAACACTGAATTAACCACAAAAAAAATTAAAAAATAAAAAAAGCCATGGACTTCCATGCATACAGAATTATGATAAATAGTAACAGTCATAATTATTTCTTCAGATTCAAACAACTATTCAACCGGTTCTTAGTGGATATGTATGCAAAAATTGAATCAGAAAATTTATTTTTTTATCAAAATGAATCAAAAGAAACCAAGAGAAGAAGAATACATTCACCTAAAGGATGCAATTCAGAATGATAGCAATGTGGGACACACAGTTATTTTCCCGCCACCATTCACAGGTGAACCAAGGTACATGCATGAAAGAGTTCAAGATGTATTGATTTATGTCAGACATTTTGGCAAACCAGATTTGTTTCTTACATTTACTACAAATCCAAATTGGCCTGTGATTTTAGAAAATCTTCTTCCTCGACAATCTGCAACAGACGGGCATGATATTATTGCTAAGATTTTTAAACTAAAGGTCAACAAATTGATAGATATTATCAATAAAGAAAAAATATTTGAACCTGTAAAATGTCACACATATTCAATTGGGTAGCACATGTACATTTACTTTTATGGTTAAGGAAGAAGATCAATTGAAATCAAACAGATGCTATCATCAGTGCAGAACTGCCAAATCCTAATAAAGATCTAGGGCTTTTTGAAATAGTAAAAAGACACAATTCATGGAACATATAGGTATTTGAATTTCAACTGTCCCTGCATGGTTGACAACTGATGTACACAAAGATTTCCAAGAAAATTTGTCAATCACACAAAAATGGATACAGATGGCTACCCAAATTACAGGAGATTGAAGATGGAGGATTTAGCTTCAACCTTGAAAGAAATGGACAAAATTAGTGGTAGACAACAAATGGGTTGTTCTCTATAGTCCACTTCTGTGCAAAGCATTCAATGCTCACATTAATATGGAATTTTCTAACAGTGTGAAGTACATAAATAAGGGGAGTGACCAAGCTGTGATTGCCATTGACGACCACAATGAAGTAGAAAAATTTAATTCAGGAAGATACATTTCTAGCAATGAGGCTGCCTGGAGAATTTTTTCATTTAACATTTACAACAGACACCCATCAGTTCAGTACTTGGGTGTTCATCTTGAAAATGGACAAGTGTATTTCACTGAAGACAATGCTCAGGAATTGATTGAAACTCCAAAAAATACTACCCTAATGGCATTTTTTAACCTATGCAATGTAGATGACTTTTCCAAAACAATTCTCTATCCTGAAGTGTTTAAATATTACACCTTCAAATCTGGAAACTTCCACAGAAGAAAGCAAGGAGAACCTCATCCAAGTAAATCTGTGATGTACTTGGTCGGTTTATACAGTACATCCAAAAAATTCTGAATTGGAGTTCTGCTGCAAATGTCCAAGATTCACAGAAAAATTAAGGCCAATGCATGAAACCATCTGTTTTTTGATTTCATGCAAATGTTCTTGTCTTTCTAGATGGTTCTTAGTTTTGTGATAATTGCTATTTAATACAAAATTGATTTAACCACTTTGGAACTGGATATTTGTGCACATTTATTATCAGCGAAGAACTAAGATGAATCATGATTTGATTGACTTGCAGAATAAGCACACCCAAGTTCTCAGCCATTCCAGGATAATCATTGCTGTCATTGCCATCAGCACCAGCTATCAATTTTTTTGAGTCACTATCTGATTCATTGATAGAATAAGGAGGTCCAGGAGAAAAAAATAACTTGTTGAGGGATATCTAATTACCCACTCCTACATAGGTAAGAAGCTTTGACAGCACAGTGGGGTATACTGTATGCAATCCCTGTTATTTGCCCTTCTTTTTGGTAGACTAGTACTGGCATGTATACACAAATTCACATTTACATGCTGAATTTTTAAAGTACAATACACATATGCCTTCCATGACCAAATCAAAATTGGCTAATTTATATACAGACAGAGAGGCTGTATTTACAAGAGAGTTGGATGGGGAAGGTTAGTTCAGAGGTATTGCTGTGCATATAGATTAACTGGTAAACAAATGACAAAGTGCATTCGGACCAGCAACTCCACAAGTCTTAGTATAATATCTTCATTAAATCAGGCAGAATCTACACTCATTTCTCATCTGCCAATGCCCAAAATAGACAGACACAGTTTCTCTCACCTAACTGTCATTATTTTGGCATCTGTGAACATTAATTTAAGTATAATATACCATCTAGGTTCAGAAGAGCTATGAATAAGAACTGAAAGTAATCACTAACAATATTTGACAGAGTAGGCTAGAATGAGGAAAGAGGAAGGATTTAACTGAAAAAGTGAGGGCAAAGAAATGATGATTGGGAGAAACAGCAACAGGACCAATGACGCCGAGCATAGAGACGGACGGCGACGGTACAAGTGATGCCGGGCAGAGAGGCGGACGACGACGGTACAAGTGACGCCGGGGAAGAGAGATGGACAACGACGGTACAAGTGACGCCGGGGAAGAGAGATGGACAACGACGGTACAAGTGACGCCGGGGAAGAGAGATGGACAACGACGGGGAAGAGAGATGACGCGGTACAACTGACGGGGGAAGAGAGATGGACAACGACGGTACAACTGACGCCGGGAAGAGATGGGACAACGGGCACAACTGACACCGGGAAGAGACGACGGTACAAGACGCCGGGAAGAGAGATGGACAACGACGGTACGTGACACCGGCAAGAGAGATGGACAACGACGGTACACGCCGGGAAGAGACGCGGTACGGACGCCGGGAAGAGAGACGGACAACGACGGTAAGGTGACGCCGAAGAGAGACGACAACGACGGCAAGTGACGCTGGGAAGAGAGACGGACAACGACGGTACAAGGTGGACGCCGGCAGAGAGACGGACAACGACGGTACAAGTGACGCCGGCAGAGAGACGGACAACGACGGTACAAGTGACGCCGGCGAAGAGAGACGGACAACGACGGTACAAGTGACGCCGGGGAAGAGAGACGGACAACAACGGTACAAGTGACGCCGGGCAGAGAGACGGACAATGACGGTACAAGTGACGCCGGGCAGAGAGACGGACAACGACGGTACAAGTGACGCCGGGCAGAGAGACGGACAACGACGGTTCAAGTGACGCCGGGCAGAGAGACGACAACAACGGGACAAGTGATGATGGGTAGAGAGGCGACAACAATGATGACGGGGGCAAGAGACGCTTGGCAGAGAGATGATTATGGGGCAAGTGATGCACAGGCAGAAATAAACAACGGGTGATATGACTGAAGGGAAAATGAAAGACAAAAGAATTAAAATTTAAAATTTAGAAACAAGTTGAAAATTCAAAGTGACAGTGGAAGAAATTGTAGAGACTCTGGAACCAATTGGGATCACAGATTGGCAAATTCATCTTTTTACAAAATATCTCTAGCGTTGGACATCATTGGAAGAGAGGAATGAGATTATAGGATGCATGGGCAAAGAAAATAAACAAAAAAAAATAGGTCCACAAGCAATGATTTATTAAATGTTTTCTGATGTATAGTGCTTTTGTATGATGTTCATGGACTTGCCTCCTCTTTGAAGTCTACATCATTCCACTTCCTTAACTTTTACATGTTTGGAAATACATGCCCACCCTTTCATCACCAAGCAAACCCAAATCTTAAAGAATAAGAAAGTTTATTTTCCATTTGACATGGCAAACTTGGCAATGATGGCAATTCACATTTGTAAATTAACTTGGAAAGAGAGGAATTTTCCCAAGAGGAGATGTAATTTCCACATCAATATCATTCCTAGACATGCTACCCAATAGGCCATTACATAACTAGTAGTGCAAAAATGGAACTTATACTTTTTGCACACAAATATATATATATATATATATATATATATATATAATATATTATATCAAGTAAATCACTTCCGAAAATAGTTTGGGGGTTGTAAGCAGAATACACAGATATATTGTCTACACTCTCCTAAGAAAGGAAAGCAAGAAAATAATTCAGATTTTACAAGCACAAAGTGAACAACTTGCTTCATTACCACAGAATTTTCCAATAATGTATAGAATGTAATTTAGACTTGATGATTGACTGGAAACAAATTACCATTTAAATTTCTCAAAGTACCAAAAGGAAAGAAAATGGTGTATCTGATGACAGGCAAAACCCTCAATTTTATCCTCTAAATGGCTCAAAACTATTATGCAAAGTCAAGATTTGTAGTTTCCAGAAAAACCAATATCTGTACATAGCCTAACTCCATAATAAATATTAAATGGAATATTGTCATTTCAGATCCATCTGGCTCTTATAAAAGGTATTGGATAGCATGAGCATTCAGGTACTTACTGGAGCAGTACAGGGAACTGATCATTTTACCTGCATCTTTAGCGATGGATCGTATATAATAGTTCCACTTGAGGCTGGTTGTGAGTTTGAGGCCCAATGTCCTTTCAAGGCACAGAACCTCCTTGAGGGGACATCCGTTCATTGTGACTGACAGTAGTTTGGGGTCGGATCGACAGTAACGTAATATACTAAGTCTGGTTTTAGAGGCATTGAATGTAACCAGCAAGATTTTCCCCCACAGGGAAATTAGGGTTAGATAGGAAGAGCGGTCAGCTGCCAATCTCTGATCATCAAGATTTTTAGAAGTGTGCCTGAATATTGTTGTATCACTGGCATAAACATTTACAAATGATCTGCGTATATTCTAAGGTAGATAATTTATGGGAAGCAAAAAGATGATTGGTCCAAGAATTGGCTCCTGAGGGATGCCTGCATTGACCACCATGACCTTGGAGTACTGGACATTAATAACTTTCAGGGATCTACCTGTTAGGAAGGATTTTATAATAGAGAAAACACTTCGAATGATTAGATAACTGAAGAGCTTGTGTAACAATCCTTTGTACCACACCTTGTTGAAAGCTTTTGAAACATCTAATGCTATGGTCCTTGCAGTATGTGCGTCATCAAGGGCCATGCTAATTGTGTGTGTAATGGTAGTTAGGATGTCAGCAGTGGATCGAACTAATGGAAAACCTATAGGTTATTCCTATTCAAGTGCTTGACGACCTTCTTGTTGATTTAACTCTCAAAAAGCTTACTGATGATACAGAGGAGACTAATGGGTCTAAACTAGGGGAGGATCGATGTGTTCTGAAAGACAAGGTATATATTTGCCACTTTCCACATGCTTGGGAAAGATTCCTCCTTCAAGCAGCAGTTAAATAACTTTACAAGAATCGGGGATAATTCTGGGCTGATATTTTTAACCACCACCACTGGAATTTAGTCTGGGTCAGTGGTTTATTTGGGGGTCAAGGTTTTTGATAAGTCTAAAGACTTCTCTTGCTGAAATGTGTATATTACTAAGATTGTGCTCAGTGAGAGATGGGAGGGGATGGCCTTTGTAATCTAATGTTGAGGCAAAGATCGAGGTGAAGAGCTTTGCCTCATCTGTCAGATATATGACTCAGGGACATTTATAATAGTGGGCACAGGCACTTTGCCTCTTCATAATTTGGTCGGTGATCTTCCAGAATTCGCAAGATCCAATTTGTATCTTTTCAACATTGGCCTGGACAGATGTGTATCTGCACTTTGCATTTTCCAAGATTTTCTTACAGTGATTGTAGGCAATTTGGTGGTGGGGGTATAAAACACTCAGGATCCATTCAGAGATTGGGGCAGTATTTTTGAAGAAGGTTGGGAGAGGAGCTTCTGTCATATTGGACTGAAAGCTGTCCCAGTCTACCTAGCAAAAAATCATTCTATGGAACAGTAAATCAAGGGATGTCATTGGTTGCTCTGACATGTCAATGGGGGCTAGAACTTTGGCAGGGCAGGACGTTAGAAAAAGGTTGAAGAAGTTCACTTGCTGTCCCATCACATTTGGGATTTTGGTGAGTTCTTCAATGATCTGGGTTAGTTCATATGCAATGGAGAAGTTTCTGCAATATCTGCCTTCCTCGTTGGTTTTGTTAGAATAGACTAACCACTCTTTGTGATGAACACTGAAAATTGGCAGAGGGATATTTGGTGAGGATATTATCCATCCTCTCTGATACTCAATCAAAGATTACCAACCCTTCATCCTAAGGAAGATACTGGACAAAGATGAATGCAATACTATGGATAAGTGCCACACACAAACATATATATGGGATATCAGGTCCTCTTTTTTTGTGTTCCTGCCACAAGTAAACCCATCCTTGATGTAGACACTGAGCCAATGACCATGGTAATTTAGGTGGTTGTATTTTGTCATAATGGGTGAATAAGCCAGGATTGTAATCTCCTGCAATGTGATGTTACTGTTCCTAATTTTAACACATACAGTAACACCTTGTGACTTAGTGGCTTTACTGCCTTGCTCGGAGTAAAAATTGATAAAAAAATTTTTTTTAAATGAGAAATTTCATAGAAAAATACAAATACACACAAGATTTTACATCTAACATACAAAGTAGGATTTATGAGCAAGTGCTTCTGCAATATTACAAAATAAAATGATATTAGTACATTTTTCATGAAAATTTAGGTGATAATAGATATTTCATACAAAAAATCTTTATAAATTTAAATAAACATTCTATCTCATTTGATGTCATGAAACATCTTATCTTTAGTTGAAAAAGCTTAGAAAGAGAAACAAAGACTTGCAGAAAATATTCTACATGACCTACAAAAGAAAATAAATAATAACTTGGTTTGTTAATTATTTACACTATTTACATTGTTTGGACTGCTGTCCTCATTTTTGTTGCCATATTCACATTTCAGCTGTAGTATGCTCCAGCCTTCTTCAGGTGATTGGAATTTTGAACTGAACCTTTTATTTTATCCACCAGGGTAGATTGTTCTAATTCCATGTGAAATGCCTCTTCTGGATGTCTCAGTTATCGCCCTTTAACTCAACTCCAAGTTTCTGTTCACCACTGCAGTAGCCAGTCACAACTCTTTGGGTAAAGACACTGGATCCAATCAATGCTTTTATCCACTGGCCATGTATCATTGAGGAAGAGGGATGGCACGTGGAACTAGAACAATCTACCCCGGTGGATGAAATAAACAGTTCAATTCGAAATTCCAAAATGTTGTGAATATAGCAACAAAGATAAAGACAGCAGTCTGAACAATGTAAATAGTGTAAATAATTACAATTTCTCATCTCAGAAATATAGACAAATATTGGCTTGTTAAGTTTGGAACAAATAGGTTTTCTCTATCTAGTTTATAAATGCTTTCTTTTCTTTACCAAAGCTAAGTTATAATTGGCAAAGATAAAGAAAGAGATGTGGCCAATACTAGAGTAATGGTACATTTAACTAATATCCCCCTAGCATCATCTTGATCTGACACCTTTTTTTTCTATGTATCTGAATTGTAATTATTATTATTATTATTATTACTATAATTCTGTAGAGTGAAAATTTTGCTGAAATATGCTGGACATTTTCCTGTTTTTTGGGGGTTTTTTTTTTTTTATTTGAAATCAGGAAAATAGAAACTAAGTGAAATTGTCACAATATAGGAGAAAAAGAAAGTTTCAGAAAAATAAAAGACAATATTTCAATTTGACTATTAACTGATATGAGTAAAAACTTTTTTGAAATAAGGAGGGTGTGTACAGGAAAAAAGAAAATATATATATATATATATATATCTATCAAGTTCAAGTATAACAGCAAAATTGACCATTTGTTGAAGTAAGCTCTGGACCATTGTATCTTAGAAAGGTTTAAAAATATTGTACTGGAATTTTCTGAGCTTTTTATAATGCTATTGGACTCTACATTGAGCAAGAAAAATGTATAATTACTCTCCAAGCTTAAAAGAAGCATCATGATGAAATCACAGGTTTCATGTAGGATTTCATTTTCAACTCTTTTTCACTACTCTTTGGATGGTCATAGCTAAAACTCCTCTCTCACGTGTCAAACATCTTATGAATTGAGTTGGATCATTTCTAATTGATCTCTTTAGCTTGAAGTTGAAATGATGATCCCTCTTGCTGTTGTGACCTCCTAATCCAGTTTTCCTCCGTACTTCTCCCCCTTTTTTAAACTTATTCACCATTCTCTTGATGGTTCTTGAGTGGACTTTGAAGATGGAAGCCAGAGTATAAATGTTGGTACCATTACTGAAGGCCTGAACAATCTTTTTCCTCTCACCATTGCTCAGCTGAGAAGACAGTGTGCCCAACACAAAATGATTTTAAGCTGATAACTCAAATCGTTTGTCAGTGTTTCTTACAAAAAATGGTGTCAAGATGGCTAAATGTCTTAAAAAGGAAACTGAATTAGTTTAGTGTTTTTTTTTTACATATTAAACATTCTGTTGGCTGGATAATTATGCTGTTAAATGATTTGGACTAATCTGCTGTTACACTCAGTGTGTGTGTGTGTGTATATATATATATATATATA